TCTGGAACCTTAAACTTGCTACACCACATTCTTTGTTCATCTCCTTCCACGTCTCGTATATTAAAAAACTAATGTACGAACGTGCCTCATCGACACTTGCACCGGTTTCGTGCATGCAACATTGGACTGACTTTGGCACATCACCTCGTTTCATCTCATCCTAGTAACGAAACAAAAGGGAAAAATAAAACTAATGCGATTGAATGGTTTGTGAGTAACTGTTGCCCTAGTTAATGTAGCGATTAATATAATAAGATTTGGTGTACGTAATACGAACTGTAGATGTTCCCAAGTCGTTTGCTAGTCTTAGAATCATGGCCGAACATCGAACTATGTCGTGATATTTGTACAATCTTTGAACGGTCTCGTTATCTATAGGGTACGTCACATGAAAGAACGCATGGAGTAATATAACGTGGGCCGATATTGAAATCCATGCATTGTTGATATATTCTTCGAGTGTTGGTGTGTAACTACTGGAATACCAAATTGCCTCTTGTAGATATGCTTGGCATAAATCTGCCCACTGCAAAAGAGCATATGTTAATTTTGATCAAATATTAGGTATGTAGAAAGAGAAAATACAATCTATTTCTTGAATATTACGATCGTTTGAAAATTTAATCGAGCAAACTATTTTCAATCTAACTTTTTTTAAGGTTGACCATTAAAATATATAATAGAGGCAGAGAGTTGTTTCCCAAAGAAGCTAAATGTACCATATTTGTGTTACTCATCTTCAAGCATCAACAAACTCATACAAGTTCTCATTTTAAACGATTTTTTTACGATTTTACGAAATTTCAGACAATAAGAAAAAAGAAGTTAAATAATTCATACCGATTTTCTCAAATGTGGAGTGACAAGAAACCCACGTTCTTTGTAAATATCATATGCTATCTCATTGACGACACGGTCAAGTTCTAAAAAGCACGTTTTCAAATACTCGGGGAGTTTGTCTGTTGCTTCAATATCCCACCTGAAATAAACCAACACGAGCTAGCTAACCAACGAGTAGACATCTCACCTATGTCGAGTAACAAAATTGAAATTAATGTTTTCTTCAAGTATTATAATTATACATATTAGATTAAATGTGGTGAGCTATAGTATAATACCTTTGAATGACGTTGTTAAAGCGACGTAGTTCTTCTAACGTACCATAGACATCAAACATATCATCGATTATGGTTATGAAGGCATTGACTTTGGTGGCCATGATCCTTGAATATCCATATTTGGGCTCGAAGAGCCCACCAATGGTCCATACATAACACTCCACCAACCTGTCTCTCGCAAATGATAACTTTTGGGCCAGACACGTTTTTTCCCACCATCTGTGCATATGCGTAAATGTTGTCAATACACGATTCTACTCATTAATTGTATAACAAAAAAGAGTTCTTAAATTGAAATTGTGTTCATTTAAGGGAAAAATTTAAAAAATGTTATCGTATATCGAAAGTAGTCTCGATAAAATTTTATTTTGGAAACATATACCGTACACTTGATTTTTTTTATTTTCCCACCAACCTGGAGACTTGCTTTAGTTCAGCTTGGTGTGTTGCCTGAACAATATTGAAGTCCAATTTTGCAAGTCGAAGCACAATTGGGCTCATATCTGACCTGTGCTCATAGGCATTTATGAACCATCTTGAGTTGGGCCTTTGAATTCTCCAATGACGTGGCAACTCGAGTGCATTTCGCGCCAATAATAAGAGATGCTCATCTGAAACTTCGATGCTACTCTCACTATCAAGCTTTTCCCTTAAAAAATTGGCGGCAAATTCTCTTGCTAGCTCCAAGCTATCTTCACCTTGTGTCAGCATGAACGAGGCTTCGTATAGTTGTAGCAAACCTTTTGTATCGTCACGAAAACTCGTGTTGAATTGGCCTTTGTCGTTCTTAAAAATATCAAATACGTCTGCATCCTACGTTTGAAAAGAAATTTGGCTAAATATATGGGATGAATTGGTATATGTAGTAAAAATTTGAGCACCTTGAGAGACGCTAAAACCATGTTGTCTGAGGAGTCTGAATTGAAGAGCTGTTGAGTGCAGGGACTTGTTGTTAATATTTATGCAGTGACTTTTGTTCGAGTCCTGGGAATGCAGCAGTGTTAAAACTCTTGAGGGAGAGCTTTGCCGCCCTTGTGGTCCTACCCGGCTCGATTCCG